GTCTGTCTTTATGCCACTAAAGAGTAGACAATGACTTTGATCAGACTATGACTTAAAATGATAATTTCAAGTTGAAGATGCATAGGCGAGCTAACAACTCAATACGATCATGTGTTTGCAGGTGCACCACAAGCAATGCTACAAAGCTGTCTCACTTTTGGTGCCTTCTCTTTCATCCTTGAAGGACTCAACAAAAGGCAAACGGCTTTGGCTCACTCCGTCTCCTTGAGACACCAAACAAGAAGTCTCCAAGATGATTTACCACTCTCTTTGGCTCTCCCAATCCCACATGAAATCAAAGGAGCTTTCTCTTCTTTCTGCAACTCCTTAACAAAACCCAAGAAGCTCGCATTTCCCCGTTCACGTTAACTTTTTTCCAACTTCTTCTTCTTCGGCCCTTTGTAGATGTTGAAAACAGATGAAATTGGTTTTGCTGCATGAGCCAATGAGAAACGAGGTGTGTGCCTTTTTGTTTGTTCTCAAAACCAAGTTTTCTTTGATTAATTTTGCAAATGTTAGTTGAAAATTGTATTCTCAATATTGTCATTGATGCTAGTTAGAGGATCATTTCCAAACAATATTTTGAAAACTGGATCAGACCGGCTGTTCGAATTGGTCAGACCGCGAACCGTAGAGCAATCAAAAAACATTGGTGAAATACTTAAAATCAAAAACTTGGTTTTAGTGGTTCAGCGGTTTTTCATATACATTTCTCAGTGACCACAAGAAGTAGTGTTGAGTTAACAAACAAAACAAAAAGCAGTGGAGATATTTGCGAAGACAGATCGAGTAACAAATCAATTTTTTTTTATAAATGGTATAGTTGTATACTGCAATATCCAGGTTATAACAATTAGTACCCGGATTTAATACCATTAATCTAATTATTACCGTAAACATAAAATCGAAGAAAGAAAGAAAATATCTTTCATCCATTGAATCAAAACCTTTTTATGCTTTTATATAACAGTGCTTCGGTTCTGACCAAAATGCTTTGAAAATACAAAGTCATGGATCCTCTTTCTTCACAAATGGTCACACA